TTGAATTTAATTTACTTTCTGGGACATCTGCAGCTTTATTCTGTAACTTACAAACTGTAGGTAATTAAAAAAAATGTAGGTAATTTCAGACTAATAGGCTGCTGCGGTCTCTGGCCATTGAAACAAACAAACAAACAAACACACTAAGCCCCCACCCTTGCTCTGGGCTGAATTCTGCTTCTCCTCCCTCCCACTCCAGTTTCTCCAGCACCACAGGTCCCTGTGGGAAGGGGTGTGGCTAATCAGCATCTGTTCACAGCCATGCAGGCGTCCGCCCTCCTTCTGAAAGGAGTCCCTTGGCTTTTCCTTGCCAAAAGTCAGCCTGGTGGGGTATGTGCTATGCTGGGCCTGTGTGGATGCCCACGTCGGGCACCTCTGACGGCACAGGCCACTCACTGATTGCCTCCCTCCCCGGCAGGCTGGAGGGTACCGTCCTTCCGCCGGCGAAAGGCCAGAGAATTGCCATGACCTGTGGGCACATACGCCCGGGACGTGCGCCCGCGTGGATGTCGGCCGGGGCGGTGCACACGCTGCTCCCGTCTGAAGTCCCTGAGTGCTGGTGGCAGATGCGGTGTCCCAGAGCGGCAGGGAGGTCCTGGCCTGGGCTCCTGCCGCTGCTGTCAGCACCCCCGAGGGGAGCCTGCTCACTGCAGTTCTCCACGCAGATGTTTATTTCTTCCATGGGGCCAGGCGGGTCTCCTCTCCGAGGCCCTGCCCCGAGCCAGCGCCCGCCCTAGCCTGTGGACGTTCCTAACCCTCACTTGGTGACGTTTGTCTTCTCACACGGATACCGTGATTCTTAGACAAGATGGCATCGGAGGGGCCCAGCAATGTGGCACAGTGGGTTAAGCCACCTGCTCAAGTGCCAGCCGTTCCACTTCCAGTCCAGGTTTCTGCTAATGTGCCTGAGAAGGCAGTGGATGTGGCACAAATACTTGGCCCCTGCCGCTCAAGGGGGCGACCAGATGGAGTTCCTGGAGAGAGCTGTGGCCATCTGGGGAGTGGACCAGCCGATGGAGGGTCTCTTTCTCTCTGCCTTTCAAATAAACAAATGAACACATCGTGAAACGGGGAAGGATGGTGTTTGTCGGGAAGGTGAGGGGTGCTCCGGAGGCTCGGGCCCCGGGGATGGCGGCTGCCGTGGCCCGGGTGCCCGGCTGCTGCCGCGGTGGGGGGGTCCCGTCCCGTGGCAGAGGGAGGAGCTGCTGAGGTGATGCAGCAGCCTGCTCCGAGGAGAGGGGCCCATGCTGCTCCCCTGGCACCACGCAGTGGCCACAGCGGGCCGCGGGGCTGCAGGTGCGCAGGCCCTCTCGGGAGTGGGGAGCGCCCCGGTCTTCCTCGGCCCCCTGTGGGGAAGCATCACGGCGCTTCCTGCCTGTGTGACCACTGCGTGGCGGCGTGGAGCCCTTCCTGGGCAGCTGCCCGCACGGTGTCCTGCAGGCTCTCGCAGTCTCTGCTGCTCGGTCGTGGCGTGGCCACTGATGCGTCTCAGACTTGGTCCACTTCAGGAGGCCTGTGTGACGCGGTTCTTCCTGATGGGACGTGGGTTCCGCTGTGTGGGCGCCCACAAACATTCGCAATGCACAGTCACAGCACAGTGGTGGCCAGTTGCTGTGGCCTGGGCACTGCCCGGAACCCCAGGGGGTGCGTCCCACTCTCCCCCAAGTTGTGAGGTCAGGGAAGGGCCACTCCACTTGCAAGCGCAGCCTTCTCCGAGCCACCTGTTGGCGGTGCCGTGTGGGAAGGGTTTGTCCTGGCCCGCCTGCCGCGGCCTCCTCTCTGGGAGGTGACAGGGTGCCCTTCCCCCCGGCTGCAGGTGGAGCAGCCCCTGCACGATGTTCTCCCACGTTCCGAGGTCACACCTGGTCTGAGACTGACTTCCTGTTACCACAGCCACACCCACCCCTGGTCTGAGACTGACTTCCTGATGCCACAGCCTCGCCCACCCCTGGTCCAAGACTGACTTCCTGGTGCCACGGCCTCACCACCCTGGTCTGAGACTGACTTCCTGTTACCACAGCCTCGCCCACCCCTGGTCTGAGACTGACTTCCTGATGCCACAGCCTCACCCACCCCTGGTCTGAGACTGACTTCCTGGTGCCACAGCCTCACCCACCCCTGGTCTGAGACTGACTTCCTGATGCCACAGCCACACCCACCCCTGGTCTGAGACTGACTTCCTGGTGCCACAGCCTCACCCACCCCTGGTCTGAGACTGACTTCCTGTTACCACGGCCTCACCCACCCCTGGTCTGAGACTGACTTCCTGATGCCACGGCCTCACCCACCCCTGGTCTGAGACTGACTTCCTGTTACCACAGCCACACCCACCCCTGGTCTGAGACTGACTTCCTGTTACCACAGCCACACCCACCCCTGGTCCGAGACTGACTTCCTGGTGCCACGGCCGTGCTGTTTGCTGGGCATCCCGGCCTGCAGATTTCGGCTTTCACGGCTCTGTTTTGAGGCCCTGGAACCCTGCTGCGCGCAGCCCTTGTTCCCTGCGCCCGCACAGGCTTCAGGGTGACCTGGGACTGCAGCCTTCCTGGGGTGATGCCAGTCTGGTGCTGAGGTGGTGCAGAGCTTCCTGAGGGAGAGGGGAGGCCCAGGGCCGGATCCTGGGTCTTGGCCCTCCTCCCCAACCCGGTCCCTGGCCCCTGCCGGCCTTGCAGCCCGTGTCCCAGCACCTGGGGTCAGGCCGGCCGCACGGTGGGAGAGGAGAGTCTGTTCAGAAACTCGTAGGGACCAGGAACGTCCTGAGAGGCCACTTCCAGTTTGCAGGAATAAGAAAAACAGATTGTCTTGCCGCTGGCCCTGGGGCGGGGGCAGGGCCAGTCTAACACCGGGTAGGAAGCAAGGAAGTGGAGACGTTCCAGGCTGCACTGTGGGGCCCCCCACAGCGTTCACACCCCGGGAGCTGCTCCCCAGAGAGCAGTCCTTGCTTCAGAGAGGCCTTGAAACCTGCCTGTTGGGCTGTGGACAGAGCCGCCCACGACTCTGTGGCCTGTTCCTCCTGTAAGCCTGGCGGCAGGGCGAGGCTGTGGCCCCGTGCTGCTGTGACGTCGGCTCCCATCAGTCAGGCATGGAGAGGGTGACTCCGTCCTGCGGCTGTTTAGATCCCATCTCCACTGCTCTCTGCTTCCTCCTTCTCTCTCGTTATCCCAGGAACCTCAAGGAAGATACGTGCCTGCCATTTTTGATTGAACGGAGAGCCGGTTGCGCTCTGCATCTGAAGTGTGCGACCGTGGGCTCTGATACGGAGCCGGGACGTGTGTAATCCCGCTTCCACTTCCTTTCACATCATGGAAATGCAGGATTCCCCAGAGGGACGCCACGCAGGAATCCCGGCTTCCGAAAAGCCACACGGAAACCCTGCTCGTGGCTGTCAGTGGACACTGCTTCGCCTTGCCCTTGGGGTGGGCGAGAGCGGTGCTGTTGCCTGTGGTTGGGATGGGCCCTCGAGGCGGGCTCTGCTCCCAGGGTCCAGTGGACGTCCCCCTGCTGCAGGCTCCTCTGGGCCTGAGGCTGTCTGAGGAATGGCTGGCTCGTCTGGGCAGGGTTTGCCAACACCATGCTCTCCTGTTCCCAGTGGACACATGCTTTATTGGGTCCCTCAGAAGTTTTGAGTCAAGTTGGTGGTAGAATTTGCTGTCTAGGCAAGGTGGCGGATGCACCCTGCCCTGGGCTTCTGTCCCTATCAGATGGGGTGAGAGGGAGAGGGATCCCACGTGGTCTGAGCTGCAAACAGCTCTGGGAGTGACCACCAGCCCACTGTGACGTGGGCCAGCCCCCCTCTCTCCAGTCTCTTAGGATGTTAGCTCTAGGTGTTCTTCCTGGAGGAGGCCATTGTGGGAGGCACTGGAAGGCCCCTCTGTGGAAGCAGGCTGCCTATGGGGACTGATGGAGGCAATTTGTGTTTTTAGCACACTATGGCCTTGTTCTTGTGGGGGGTGTGGAAGGAGTTGCTTCATGTTGTCCCAGTGCTGAGCACGTGTGTGTGACCCAGGTCCACATGGAGGCTCCCCCACCTCTGCCAGGACCCGCTGGCTCCGAGGGTGGAGTGCAAGCTTTGTCTCTGTCCCACAGCTGTTGGGACGCCTTGAGGACTGTGTCCCCCTGCCTCTGTTGGGAGGCGGTGTGGACCGGCTGCCCTTCCTGCTGGGAGCTGGCATGGACTGCATCCTCCTTTGGGGAGCTGGTGTGGTCTGGGTGCCCTTCCTGCCAGGAGCTGGTGTGGACCGTGTCCTCCTGCTGGGAGCTGGCATGGACCGTGTCCTCCTGCAGGGAGGTGGTGTGGACCGTGTCCTCCTGCTGGGAGCTGGCGTGGACCGTGTCCTCCTGCTGGGATTTGGCGTGGACCGTGTCCTCCTGCTGGGAGCTGGCGTGGACCGTGTCCTCCTGCTGGGAGGTGGTGTGGACCGTGTCCTCCTGCTGGGAGCTGGTGTGGACCGTGTCCTCCTGCCGGGAGCTGGTGTGGACCGTGTCCTCCTGCCGGGAGCTGGTGTGGACCATGTCCTCCTGCCGGGAGGTGGTGTGGACCGTGTCCTCCTTTTGGGAGCTGGTGTGGACCGTGTCCTCCTGCCGGGAGCTGGTGTGGACACCAGCACAGGAAGTGGGTGCTCCTGGAGAACCTGCTGCCTCTCCGAGGGACGAGACGCAGACCTGAGTGACGGGGCCACACGCTCCTCCTGCTGTCACTCCTGCAGCACCAGCACCAGACCTCCTGCAACACTGTCTCTCCCCCAGCGCACACACGTGAACACACGCGCACACACATGCACACACACACACATGCCTCAGAGACCCAATGTCCCCTTAAAACCTTAGCGCCACGCCAGGGTTTGGCGTCTGCACTCCAGCCCCCCCTCCCCCCGCCGCGCCAGGGTTTGGCGTCTGCACTCCAGCCCCCCTCCCCCCGCCCCCCGCCACACCAGGGTTTGGCGTCTGCACTCCAGCCCCCCCCCCCCCCCCCGCAGCCCTGGCCCGGGGCCGTCCCCAGGAGCAGATCTCCTGTGGCTGCTGTTTCCGGTCTTCGAGGTGACGGCTCCCTGTCCAGGCAGGCCGAGCCCTCCACACTGTGCAGTGGGAGCCGCTTCCTGCCCTCCGTGGGAAGGGGGGTAGGGCTCGGATGCTGGTGGGCGCTGTGCCCTGTGGGAAGCCAGGTGTGAGGCCCTGGGCAGCTCGTGTGGGTGGCTCCAGGAGCAGGGCAGTGGCCCCTGCTACCCCCCAGCATTGCCCATTAACGCCGTGGCACCAGCGGGGGCCGCTGCTCCCAAGAGTGATCCTGAGAGGCACCTGTAGGGACTTTGGTGTTGCTGGAGGAAGTGAGAGGCGGCCAGAGGGCACGCACACACAGCAAAGGACGCTCACTCTGTGTGCTCATCCGACAGCGAGTGGGTGCTGGCCCCCCGCCCCGACGGCGTGATCCATGACCTGAGTGCTGTCCTCCCCAGTCTGATGAAGAAATCGGGGTACACAGCACTTGCCCGAGATATCTGGGGGCGGGGAGCCCAGTTGGAATCCCGCGGGCAGCCCGGGATGTGCTGCCTGTATGTGCAGGCTCCGGGGAGCCTGCTGCTGCGTCCGCGTGTCTCCTGTCGGTGGGACCCTGGGTCTGTCTGCGGCTGAACTGCACTGCACTCCCTTTCTCTGCTCACCCAGGTGGTGCCTGCGTGGGGTGAGGAACTACGCCGAAGCCAGGGCCGTGGCGGGCGAGGGTGGTGTTACGGTGTTGGCCTGAGTATCCCCTTGCTTCAGGTCTTTTCAGGGTCATCTGGGCCCCTGTGGAATACAGGACTCATCCCTTTCTCTCGCCACACCTGCTGCCGTCTAGGGACCGGGGCGCGAGTCACCCCACAGTCTCTGGGCCAAACGGAACGAGCTGGAGCACCAAGGCCCTGGCTGCAGGGGCTTCACTCAGAGCTGGCAGGAGCAGGCGCTGACCAGTCCCCTGCAGGGAAACTGTGGACCTCTGTGTCCACTGGGGACTCAGCTGCCCCGCCCCACGGGAGCTGGCTCTGCAGAGGATGCAGGCATAGCCCCTCTGCGCGCGTGGCCCTCACGGCCAGGCCCACGGTGCCCGGGTGAACGCGTGGTGGTTAGTGTCCTGTGAGAGGGACTGTGCGCACCTGGAAACCAGCGCAGTTCTAGGTCAGAAGACGTTCCACAAAGCAGAGCTGACGCCACTGCTCAGAGTCTGGGCCAGCCTGCAGGGGCCCTGGGCGGGAAGAGCCGGTGGGAGCATGTGGTGCTCAGAGGCTGGGCCAGCCTCCAGGGACCCTGGGCCGGAAGAGCTGGTGGGAGGCAGTGCTGGCTGGTGGCGAGTGCTTCCCAGAGCCAGGGGCGTGCCATGCAGGACATCGGAGGTCATGAGTGGGCTGTGCAACCGTAAAATGAAGCATGGTAGAAAATACCACATCGCAGCTGGGGTGGACGAGTTGTTCCGTGGAGTTTCTGGCCCACGGCTCGCTCTCTGCGTGCGTCCTGTGTCTCCATGTTGGAAGGTCTACTGTGGGTCCCGGTCAGAGGGTTTCAGAAACAGCACCCTGGGGAGAGGGAAGAGTGGGGGGGCCGGAGGTGAGGGGTCTGGGGTGTCGATGGGCCGCGGCCTTCGTTCCCCCAGGTCCTGCCTCCGGCCAGCCGCGGTGCTGTGCTCAGAGGCCCGTGTTCTGACGCTGCTGTACTTGGTAACTTCTCCTCCGTTTGCTTATTTGAGAGGCAGAGATAGACAGCCCCTCCCTCCTCAGATGCACAGGGCGGCTCTGTGTCAGGAGCAGGGCCCAGGCTCCGGCCCAGGCACTCTGCGGGGTGTGGGGTCCCGGCTGGCGTCTTAGCTGCGGCAGACACCGCGCTGTCTGTTTCTGCCTGTTGCTGGTGTGTGCAGCATGGGCTTTGTGTTTGCCCTGTGCTACCTTTGCTGGATTTTGGCCCCGTCCGTCATTCCGCTGCTCCCTGTAGATTCTTGCTGGTTTCCCTCACGCGGGGTCCAGAAGATGGGCAGGTCTGCTTTTTCTGTCCCTTCCTTAGCGTTGATTTCTTTTTCCTGCCTGAATGCATGGGCTGGGAGTGCTGGCGCCAGCTGAGTGGTGGGCGTCCTTGTCTGGCTTCGGATCATGACGGGAACCCGCCGTGGTGTCAGGCTTGTTTCCTGAGTGCCTTTACCACGGCAAGGCCGTGGCCCTCTGCTCCCGTGAGGCTCTGTGTCATCTTTCATGACTGTAGGTTGCCTTTTTTCCGGTGCTGCCTTGGTTTCTCGGTTGAGCTGATATCCGTTTGCTTTGCTTTGTGAGTGTGGTTAGCTGTGTCACTGAACAGCAGTGTTCACGCTTCCATTCTGAGCAGAGCCCACACTGACCAGAGCGTTGCGTTGCTGCGAGTACTTTGAGTTCTGCTTTACGCTCAGGAGTGAGTGTGGCTTGTAGTTGTTTTTCCTGCAATCCTCTTGCCAGTTTTCTAAAACATTTATTTAAGAAGGAAAGGGACGGGGGAGAGCGCACGCCAGCTGGGAGACACCTTCCCGTCCTCGGTCCACGCCTCACGTGCCTGCAGCGCCAGGAAGCAGGGTCAGTCCAGGTCTCCCACGAGGTCAGAGCAGGAGCCCAACCACGGAGCCAGGGTCTGTGGTGGTGGGAAGCTGGCGGCAGGAGCGCAGCTGGGACTTGAACCCGGCACTTTGAAAGTCCGTGGGCTGTTCAGTTCTGTGAGGCCTTGAGTCTGTGTTGGTAAGCTGTACTTTTCTAGTAATTTGTCTGTTTCGTCGGTATTTGCATAGCAGTTTTCCTGAGCCCTCCCCGTGCGCGTGCAGGCCAGGGCAGGGCTCCTGCACCCGGACCCTCAGGCTGCATCTGGGCCGGGGCCTCTCATGCTTGCTGCAAGGTCCATCAGTGCCCTGGCTTCTGCCACCAGAGACCTCTGCATTTCTTGGATCTTTTGGTTTTGGTAATCCTGATTGTTTGGTTTTGGTAATCCTGATTGTTTGGTTTTGGTAATCCTGATTGTTTATAGTCCTTTTCTATTTCATTAATTTGTTTTTTATTCTTTAATTTCTATTCCTGTGTGAACCCTTAAAATGGAGCCCTCAGTGTACAGTTCAGGGCCGCTTCCCCTGGGCCTGGCTCGGGAGTGTCGAGTGCTTGCCTGTTGTCATTCAGCTTTCTGTCTGGTTTACAGGCCATGTATAAGTACATTTTAAAGATTTTAAACAGGGGGAGGTTTCCTACTTCTTTTATAGTTACTGATTTCTGGCTCAAGTTGCACTTTGGCTGAGAAGCCTAGGTGGGATAGGCCGCCAAGTCTGTGAGTACTTTACGGTCTCCTTTGACCTCAATCTTGATGGAGCCACTTTGTCCTTCTTTATTATGTGCACGGTCCTGTGCAGGTGTAGTGGTGTCACTGGTTCTTATGTGCCCGGTTCCGTGCAGGTGTAGTGGTGTCACTGGTTATTTTGTGCACAGTCCAGGGCAGGTGTAGTTGTGTCGCTGGTTCTTATGTGCCCGGTTCTGGGCAGGTGTAGTGGTGTCGCTGGTTCTTATGAGCACAGTCCAGGGCAGGTGTAGTGGTGTCGCCGGTTCTTATGTGCACAGTCCAGGGCAGGTGTAGTGGTGTCGCTGGTTCTTATGTGCACAGTCCAGGGCAGGTGTAGTGGTGTCGCTGGTTCTTATGTGCACAGTCCAGGGCAGGTGTAGTGGTGTCGCTGGTTCTTATGTGCACAGTCCAGGGCAGGTGTAGTTGTGTCGCTGGTTCTTATGTGCCCGGTTCTGGGCAGGTGTAGTGGTGTCGCTGGTTCTTATGAGCACAGTCCAGGGCAGGTGTAGTGGTGTCGCCGGTTCTTATGTGCACAGTCCAGGGCAGGTGTAGTGGTGTCGCTGGTTCTTATGAGCACAGTCCAGGGCAGGTGTAGTGGTGTCGCTGGTTCTTATGTGCACAGTCCAGGGCAGGTGTAGTGGTGTCGCTGGTTCTTATGTGCCCGGTTCCGTGCAGGTGTAGTGGTGTCGCTGGTTCTTACGTGCCCGGTTCCGTGCAGGTGTAGTGGTGTCGCTGGTTCTTATGTGCACGGTTCCGTGCAGGTGTAGTGGTGTCGCTGGTTCTTATGTGCACAGTCCAGGGCAGGTGTAGTGGTGTCGCTGGTTCTTATGTGCACGGTTCCGTGCAGGTGTAGTGGTGTCGCTGGTTCTTATGTGCCCGGTTCTGGGCAGGTGTAGTGGTGTCGCCGGTTCTTATGTGCCCGGTTCTGGGCAGGTGTAGTGGTGTCGCCGGTTCTTATGTGCCCGGTTCTGGGCAGGTGTAGTGGTGTCGCCGGTTCTTATGTGCACAGTCCAGGGCAGGTGTAGTGGTGTCGCCGGTTCTTATGTGCACAGTCCAGGGCAGGTGTAGTGGTGTCGCTGGTTCTTATGTGCCCGGTTCCGTGCAGGTGTAGTGGTGTCGCTGGTTCTTATGTGCCCGGTTCTGGGCAGGTGTAGTGGTGTCGCTGGTTCTTATGTGCCCGGTTCCGTGCAGGTGTAGTGGTGTCGCTGGTTCTTATGTGCACGGTTCTGGGCAGGTGTAGTGGTGTTGCCGGTTCTTATGTGCACAGTCCAGGGCAGGTGTAGTGGTGTCGCTGGTTCTTATGTGCCCGGTTCCGTGCAGGTGTAGTGGTGTCGCTGGTTCTTATGTGCCCGGTTCCGTGCAGGTGTAGTGGTGTCGCTGGTTCTTATGTGCACAGTCCAGGGCAGGTGTAGTGGTGTCGCTGGTTCTTATGTGCCCGGTTCCAGGCAGGTGTAGTGGTGTCGCTGGTTCTTATGTGCACAGTCCAGGGCAGGTGTAGTGGTGTCGCTGGTTCTTATGTGCACAGTCCAGGGCAGGTGTAGTGGTGTCGCTGGTTCTTATGTGCACAGTCCAGGGCAGGTGTAGTGGTGTCGCTGGTTCTTATGTGCCCGGTTCCGTGCAGGTGTAGTGGTGTCGCTGGTTCTTATGTGCACAGTCCAGGGCAGGTGTAGTGGTGTCACTGGTTCTTATGTGCACAGTCCAGGGCAGGTGTAGTGGTGTCGCTGGTTCTTATGTGCCCGGTTCCAGGCAGGTGTAGTGGTGTCGCTGGTTCTTATGTGCACAGTCCAGGGCAGGTGTAGTGGTGTCGCTGGTTCTTATGTGCACAGTCCAGGGCAGGTGTAGTGGTGTCGCTGGTTCTTATGTGCACAGTCCAGGGCAGGTGTAGTGGTGTCGCTGGTTCTTATGTGCCCGGTTCCGTGCAGGTGTAGTGGTGTCGCTGGTTCTTATGTGCCCGGTTCTGGGCAGGTGTAGTGGTGTCGCCGGTTCTTATGTGCACAGTCCAGGGCAGGTGTAGTGGTGTCGCTGGTTCTTACATGCATAGTTCCAGGCAGGTGTAGTGGTGTCGCTGGTTGAGGTCCCACAGCTGGGACACCTGCGTCTCCTATCAGAATGCCAGTTTGAGGCCTGGCTGCTTTGCTTCTGACGGCAGCTTCCTCCCCAAGCATCCTAGGAAGCAGCGGATGGTAGCCCACATGCCAGGGCCCTGCTGCCCACAGGGGAGACCCAGATGGAGTTCTGGGCTCGGGGCTCCAGCCTGGCCCACCTCTGATTGTTGCAGGTGTTTGGGGGAGAGAACCAGGAGATGGAATGTCTCTGTGTGTCACTCTGCCTTTCAAGTAAAAAATTGAATCTTTTAAAAATGTTATGTGCAGAGTTCGTGTTCTGCTCTGTTTTACTTGGATCCGTTCTCTGTGGCTTCGTGTCTGGATTTGTCCCAGTGAAGAGCGTGTGCTGGTTGGCCATTTTGTCTGGTATCTTCCCGTGCTGCCTTCTCTAGAGCGCTGGTCTGCGTTCGGGGGTTCTTGGGGTGCTGGCCGCGCGCCCTGCCGCTCGGCGTGCTCCCTCCTTCGTCCTGCCCGTTCTGTGCGTTTGACCACTGCCTCCCTGTCAAGGCAGCGTCCAGTCCGCCTCATCCACAGGCTCGACACTTTTCACTGTTCTCCGTATTGGTCCTCATTTTCCGTTTTCCGCCCGACTTCAGCTCCCAGCGCCCCTGGTGTGGCTCAGGTGTGTCCTGGGGAGGTGCTCCAGTGCACGGCAGCTGTGAAGAGCGCCCCCTAGCTCTGGTCTGATGCTTGCAATCCCTCAGAGCCTGCTCCGCCTTTTCTGTGCTCTGCCGGATGTCGCTGCCTGGTTGCCGGGAGAGTACCAAGCTTTTTAAAATACGGTTGTTTGCTTCAATTTGAAAGGCAGAGCGACAGAGAATGGAGAGAGCGAGCTCCCATCCACTGGTCCACTCCACAAGTGCCCTTAGCAGCCAGGGCTGATGCCAGGGCCCAAGCCCTTGAGCCACCACCTGCCGCCTCCCAGGGTGCGTCAGCAGGGAACTGGCTCAGAAGCAGAGTAGCCGGGGCCAGAACCAGGAACCCGGCTAAGGGAGCTGACATCCCGCGTAGCCGGGGTCAGAACCAGGCCCCAGTTGAGGGTGCTGACGTCCCGAGTAGCCGGGGCCAGACCAGGCACCTGGCTAAGGGCGCTGACGTCCCGAGTAACTGGGGCCAGACTAGGCGCCTGGCTGAGGGTGCTGATGTCCCGAGTAGCCAGGGCCAGGACCAGGAACCCGGCTAAGGGCACTGACGTCCTGAGTAGCCGGGGCCAGAACCAGGCCCCAGTTGAGGGCGCTGACGTCCCGAGTAGCCGGGGCCAGACCAGGAACCCGGCTAAGGGCGCTGACGTCCTCAGTAGCCGGGGTCAGAACCAGGAACCCGGCTAAGGGCACTGACGTCCCGAGTAGCCAGGGCCAGGACCAGGCCGCCGGCTGAGGGAGCTGATGTCCCGAGTAGCCAGGATCAGGACCAGGCACCTGGCTGAGGGCGCTGATGTCCCGAGTAGCCGGGGCCCCCGGCTGAGGGCGCCGACGTCCCGAGCAGTGGCCTGATGTGCCTCGTCGCGGTGTCTGCCCCGGAAGTCATTTTAGTTCTTTGTCTTCCTGTGGAGCCCCCTCGTTTAACCCTGGTTTTCAGTAATCGACCGGATGCCAATCATCCATTCCGAATGTTCTTGGCCATGTCCTTCAAGTGTGCGTGTGCCCCACACGGCTTCTCCTCTCCTGTGTCCCCAGGGCTGGTGTCCTCTGCGCCTCTGACCACTCGCCCCTGCCTGTTGTGATCATTCTGGATTTTCTTCCAGCCAGTCTCCCCGTCACAAATCCTCTCTGGCCGCGTCTGGTCTGTTAAAGAGGGAGTCTTTGGTCTGTTTTGTGGCTTGAGTTCTAGAAGTCTTTCTTCAGGTTTCCGATCTTTGCTGAAGTCTTAAGCGTAGGCGTGTACCTTCCTGAGCATGGAAATCCTTGTTCTGTTAAACCCCGTGTCCGAAGCCGCCACAGAACCTCAGGCGGCAGCAACCGCGGAGCCGGTCCGGTATTTCTGCTGGTTTTTGTTCTTGTTGGCTTGTCTTCTCTGTGCCTGGTGTGTGTTCCGTGGCAGATCCTGTGTGCAGAACCTGCGGGGCTACCGGCATGATGACTGGGGTCTGGGGGCATCCGCTCAGGCCCCTGGCAGGGGTCGCTGTGGCTGCTCACACGCAGTGCTGCAGGACCCCAGCCCAGAGGAGAGTGCCCCTCCCCCTCCCCCTCCCGGTCCCAGGGTCTCCATCAGGACCACAGCCCAAGG